AACAGCCTGAATGTCCGAGAAATTTTCACAGAAAATATTCGTCCTCCGACAGGATTCGAACCTGTATCCTATACGGAACCGTCATTTAGCTTGACGTGCCTTTACCGATTTGGCCACGAAGGAACGTTCGGTTAGAAGGGCAAATTTACTGTATTTAAACTATATATATTAAAGCAACAATACCTTTATAAAATATGGTCTGTCCCACCATTACCATAACCTGATATACTTAACCAAATTTAAATTATGTAACGGTCAATATCAGTTTAGCACTTGAAGATTGCGTTGTGCATGAAATTCCGAGTTATGCGGAAAAAATGTAGATTTATGTTGTGACCAAGTAAATGGTTTTAAGAAATAACAAAACAAGTGATGCAGGTATATCGTATATTAAACAGTAAGTACAAGACTAGTGAGTTTGTGTCGGTTGACTCAGCTTTCAATCTATTCGACTGTTATATTTAACAGCCCCCCTCCAGATAGATGGATGTGACACAAGGTCGAGTTTACCGTGGGTTCTCCGAGCCCGTAGGCTCTGCCAAAAATATTCCTTTAGAACCCGTATAAGTTATGAAGAACTTGGTAATCCGTATGGGTAATCCCAAGGAGGATGAAATCCTGAGAGCTCAATGTAAATCCAGAGCTAATATTTAAAAGAAAAACAGACCACTTTAAGGTACCATTATAATAATTTATTTCACCAGAGCCCTTTTAAAGGACGCCGGATCATCAGATAGCACTTCCAAAAATGAAATGAAACGAAAAATGAAATGAAACGAAAAATGAAATTAAATATCTGATTGAATAAGTTACAAACATGTTGTCTGCTTATGTTTATCATAATCCTTTCATATTTACAAATATTTTTCCGTATATTACAATTAAATGTGGAAAAAAATCCACTGTAACAATGAGAATCACTTTTATTTTCAAAGTGCATTTCTTGCCTAATTTAATTGTAATATATGGAAAAATATTTGTAAATATGAAAGGATTATGATTAAAATAAGCAAACATAATGTTTGTAACTTATTCAATCAGACATGCCTTATAGAGAATTTGCTGCATAAATGAACACACACACACACACACACACACACACACACACACACACACATATATATATATATATATATATATATATATATATATAATAGTAAAAAACTGTAGTTATTGCTGATGCGTTTCGTTTCAGTGTCCACATTGGACGAAACGCGTCAGCAACTACTACAGTTTTTATCTTTCTATATATATATATATATATATATATATATATATATATATATACAGGGTGTATCAGAAATACTTTTACAAATTTTGGAGGCGGCTTTCTCACACCAAATCACGTCCCAAAAAAGCCCTTGTTTTACCTCAGCCAGTACATCACAAAGAATGTGACTAAAATGAACTGGAACCCCATCATGCATGAACAACATTCCTTGTCTTATTAGCAGCGGTGCATCCTCTAGCAGGCCTGGAAGTGTGTCCGAAATAAAGTCCCTCTAGGCAACTCCTATAAGATGTGCTGCGAGAACATATGGACATTAATCGTAACCTGATGGTAATGTCTCGCCTGTATTGTAGCATGGGGATTCCGATCCACCCACCGATGATAGTTGTGTAGATTTGCTATTCCATCTCTTCTAAATGTTGCCTCATCCGTAAACAAGACTGAAGAGACAAACAACGGGTCGTTAGTTTGTGTAATAAACCATCGGCAAAAGTTCTCCTGTGGTGAGTGATCAGAGAGCAAAAGACACTGCACACGTTGCAAATGATACGGATACAAAAGCTGTTCTTAAAGTACCCTACATGTGGTACTACATGATGTACGATATGCTAGGGCCACTTGATGTTTTCTTATACCCGGACTTTCTCCGACATTCTGTAGATTTCCTTGATGTTACATTAGACTTAGTTAATAATGTACCCCAACCCTAATTAAAAACAACCAAACAAAAAAACAACAAAAATCCAATATATATACATCCAAATTCTAACCACCCTCCATCCGTAATCAAACACATACCCACTCCATAGAATATGGTATTAGCAACAACTCTTTCAGTGGAGATGTCTTTTACAAGCATAGTAAATTTTACAACTCTGCCTTAAAGACAACGGCTATATGTGCCCTCTCATCAAATATATAAAACATAACAGCGATAGTAGGAATAAAAATAGAAACAGAAAAATCATTTGGTACACCCCCCCATTTAACGAAATAGTTAGTAGTAAGTTACGACACAAGTTTCTCGATTTAATTGAGAAATAATCCATTTAGTAAGATTTCTAATAGAATAGACTAAAAATCTAAGCTATAGCTATACCGATAATCTTGAAAAAATATTAAAAAACATAATAAAATTTTAAATCAACACAAAAACCTGAGTAATAATTGTCATTCCAAAGCAACAAACGCAGATAATACCATATTAGAAATAGTAACAGTAGATATTCTAACGAATGTTCATTGCAAAACAGACTCTCTCGTTTACGTAAGCACTATTTCTACTATAGAAAATCTAACTGTTAAAAAATTTCATATCGGGAGTACCAAGAATTCCTTTAAAACTAGGTGGTAACAACATGTACTAACTTTTACCAATAATGCGTACAAAAATAGGATGTCCCTTTCTAAATATTTTTCGAACTTAAAAGAAGTTAATAAAACCCCTACGGTAAAAAGGAAAACATTAAAAGAAACTAGAACTCGTAAATCTTTAAATGAACCGTGCTACTTATATTTACATGAAAAATTACAAATCATCAAAGTTGTTGACAAAAATATCTATTAAATCAAAGGAGTGAATTAACTGTAAATTATCGGCCCACTTTATCTTTTTCACCGTAAAATATAGTTAAATATCTAAAAATTACGTATTCCCATTTCTTATAGCCATATTTTATTAGTACATAATGGTCCACCCTCTATGGGTAATTACCTTATTTTTTATTCAGTTTTGATAATGTATTGCCGTTCAGTTTTTATTATTAATATATTATATAGATGTTCCACATTTTTAATTTTATCTACAGGCCCTTTTAAGAAGCTTTCTGAACATATAAAAAAACATTTTTCTGTTAATTTACGTCTGATTAAACTACCATTCCATAAACGCCCTTACAAAAAAATTAAACATATCATATTTGTCTACAACCACGATGCAATTGTCGCTGACATATTTTCCGCAATCGTCAATGATGACCTGTCGATGTTCCGGCTTATTGTGACATGAAAAAATGACTCACCCACCTCCACCTTCTGACCTCTTATTTTTGTATTTAATGTAGATCTGACATTTAATTGGTTGATCAAGACGTACCCACAAGCCTATTTTTAATTCTGACCTTATATTCTCACCACTTTAACTTTCGGAAAAGCGGTAACGTTTTGTTTTAAATTTCCTTAAAAATCATTTTAATCACCAGTTACTTACCATCGCCTGAAGAAGTACAATCATCGTATTGAAACATGAAATCTTTTGTGTAGCGATTTCAACATGTTTTTATTATAATCTCCTGTAATAAAATAATATATATATATATATATATATATATATATATATATATAATAATATATATATATATATAAAAAAGAAGAGAAACCGTAAATGTTTCTGGTTGTAATATGGCTTTTTCTAAAATATATATCTTATGGTTTATTTTTCGTAATTTTGAAACACAGGTTTCGGGAATCGTGACCTTCTTCAGGCAAAGAGTGGATATATTTCCCCATATTAAAATGAGTTAATTTTCCATATGCTTTTCAACGTTAAACATTCTCGATGATAAGCATTCTCTTTTTTGTGTGGTAGTGGCACAATATATATATATGTATTCAATATAGTTACTCGACTTCATGTCAGTGGAAAACTTGAGTCCAAGAAGGCGAAGTGTGTTGCTCTATTGCAGTTTAGCATCAGCCATACTTGTTGTGAGCAGAGAAGTTTCTGTGGTGATTAAATGAAAGCATTTGTGTTTTGGAGCCGTTCAAATTTGCATAAGGCCAATTCTTTTCATCAACTGACGTAGATAAGCGTGCGAGTTCGGTCGAAGTTGTTTTTTTTTTCTCTTAGGTGACTGTAATAAGAGCGAGCCAAACTCGTTTAATTATCACCTATTTCAGACATGATTGATATCTCTATATTACTGCTTCACATTGTAATGTTTATCATTGCCGTCTCCGTCGACTTTCAGACAAACAACCATTCTTCAATCTTGCTTACCCAGCCTTTACCCTGAACCGACTAAAGCTTTTTGTCTTTGGTTTAAGTGGATAATTGAGAATATAGTACTCTCATTAAGCGTACCAAGACCATCAAAGCATTGTCTATCAGTAAACCACCTTTTTTTTCTTTTTTTTTTTTGGTGGGGGGCTTTTTGTGTTCTCAAACTGGTGCCGATGTTTAGTCATGAGTAGATGTTTGCTTGCATCTGAAGAAGTCTCCAGTTGATTATTGAAAGAAAAACAAAAAACAAAAAAACAAAAAGAAAACGATTACATAACTGTCGTAATTACATTTTTCACAAGCTTCCGAGGAAGGCGTGTAAGCGAAAGAGGAAGAATATAAAGCGTCAGAAGGAGAGAAAAGGAAAGAAACGTGAGGAGAACGTTGAGAAGAAATCGGGAACGTATAAAGAATGAAAGAAGATTCCGAGAAAAGAATAAAGAAGGTATGGCGAAAAGGGACATGGTAAAAAAAAAGAAAAAAAAACGAACAGGAAGAGGCTTGTTGATAAATACGGAAGACAAAAGATTGTCTGTTTTTACGGATTATAAACCGTTATTTAAAGCTAGAAAATATTTTTAGATTTTAAGAATTTTTGGGAAGATATTTTGTCGATATTACTCATTACCCCATAGGAGGGGGGAACAGCTCAATTCATACCTTTCCCAATAATATTTACGTGTAAGTGTATATAACGAACCCGACTGGAATTGGAACTGAATTTTCGAATTCCGAATCGCTATATATTACACGACACTTATACCTGAGCTTACAACAGCTGGTATTCCCAAGCGGTCACCCATCCAAGTACTGATCTTTCTCGACGTTTTTTAACTTTTGTGATTGTATGAGAATCGCTGTTTCAGCGTGATACGGCCGTAAGCCGGGAAGGCAACAATTGTAAGAGAGACGAAAGAAAGAGAGGAAACAAAAAAAGAAGGAAAAAAATGGAGGAAATATTAGAAATCAAAATGGAGGAAATATTAAAAATCAAAATGTATTTCTCTTTTAAGCTGATAAATGGTAGCAGATAGTGGAACAAAATTTTACATGTGTTTTCCAATGTAGTTAATGTCTAAGAAAGGAAAATACTTTCAGGCAATTTCTTCCAGAAACCGCTACTTTATGGAACAATATCCAAATTGAATACTTCCTCAATCATTAAAAATCTTAACATCTGTCTATATTTATGAGATGAGGTATTATGTACACTATTTACATTATTCGGACTATTGTCTTCATCTTTGTCGCCATATTTATTACAACGTTTCGGCCTTTCAGTATCTGTCTATATTTCTGAGATGAGATATTATGTACATTATTTACATTATTCGAACTATTGTCTTCATCTTTGTCGCCATATTTATTACAACGGTTCGGCCCTTCAGTATCTGTGTATATTTCTGAGATGAGGTATTATGTACATTATTTATATTATTCGGACTATTGTCCTCATCTTTGTCGCCATATGTATTACAACGTTTCGGCCATTGTAACCCAGAAATTCATACACAGATGTCCTCAAGAATACATGGCACAGTGGATAAAGGCGTTAGTTAGATCCAGTGACAGTACCCAAAGAGTGTGAGTTCAATACCCGGTTAAGGCAGTGGAGAACTTGGAGAGGTGAATTAACAGGAGATAACTGACATCCATTAAATATAGCACCTGGAACTAGAGCAGTCTACCCTAGTGTGCGAAATAAAGAGTTCCGTTCGACATTCCAACCACCTGAAGAAGGCCAGAGCGTACAACGTCCGAAACGTTGTAATAAATATAGCGACAAAAATGAGGACAATAGTCCGAATAATGTAAATAATGAAAAATCTTAACATTTTCAATTCTATGGTCAACTGTTATCTATCTTACAAATCTTTAAAATCTGAACTTATTTCATCTTTTACCTCCAATAACCTCTTCGATCTGGAACAATTTTAACCTATCTGCCTGAGCTCCTGAGTCAAAATACGCAAATAATTGGTATGTAATGTTTCACGGTAGATATAAAAATAATTACAAGTTTTTACCCACCGTTCAACCGGTGATTGGGCATTAAGTCATTTTTCTCTGCGACTAATCAACCGGTGGCTAAGCATTACGTCATTTTTCTCTGTCACCGGTAAAACGATAGGCAAGGCTTAAAGGGTTAAATAGGAAGGAAGACTTGTCACTCTGGCCGGCATTGGCACCTTGAAATTTCAAAGTCAGCTGAATAATAATCCATTTGATCCCTGCCTGCCCGAACAATTTGAACCCTTCTGCTTGAGCTCAAATATACAAAATACGTGTTAATCCATCATTCAGCAGGTGGCTGGGCATTAAGTCATTTTTTTCTGCGTCTGTTCAACCGGTGGTTGGGTATTACGTCATTTTTCTCTACCAGCGGTAAAACAATGGTGAAGGCTCAAAGGGTTAAACAGCCGAACTTTTACTAATGCTCTACCTTAAGTACCAATTGGGATTCGTATTGGGTGAACATCTAGGAAGCAAAATGTGTGGCAGTTTTTTGTATATCTATGTACTAGTGAGCCAGTCAAAATGACTTGACTCATTTTATAGTCCACCAAGAGAAGGGTTAACCAATCAGAAGACGTAGAATATTCAATCCGTCGTGTATAAAGGCGGCCATTTTGTTTACTCTCTCCGATGTCCAGTGCCAACTTGTCAGGCGAAAGAACAGAAGGAAGAACTACTAAACTACGCTCTGCTACTTTACCGGGATATCCACTGCTAACCTGAACTACGCTTCCCTACTGTCTTCGGAATATTCACTGCTAACTTCTGGATTCTATACTCAAAGGCGACTGTCACCATGAACAACAAAATGTTCATTTGCACGTTTCTTTTAGTAAGTGTCGGAAATAAGGAAGAAGAGACTTACGTGAGTGGGGAGGCGGGGAGTCCTAAGGCGAGAACGCCTCATTCTCCTTCTTGGATTGGCGGAAGAGGTGAGGGCAGAGGTATGTTATAAAAATCCCTTCACCTCATATTCACTTGCCTTTTGGCTGACAGCAAAGCAAGTTGATATTGTTTTTGTCTGTTATTACTGTGGTTACCTGACTCTCGCGGAGAGGGTCGCAAAGGGAGAGCATTTTCTTTTGCAACCTGGTCATTCACAAGCTATCTCCACATTGGTCTTTTCAGTCAAATTCATTTTTGACAAGTTCAATACTAATAAGGTTTTTGTGCTCTTGGATAGGAGAACGTAGTTTGGTTGGAATAAGTTTACTGACGCTGTCTTTGGAAAAAAAGATGTCCCTCCCCAATTTCACTTGCATCTTCAATATCAGAAGCTCAATACCAAATAGAAAGTACATTCTTACCAGAGGAGCTTTTTCTCCTTCCTTTCGAAAATTGACAACTTTTGATGGTGACTCCTGATATTTGATTATCTATGAGCCCTGTTTGGCAATATAGGGAAGGGGATGATTTTAGCAGTCATTCCTTTCGATTGAAATGAACAAAGTCTGGGTGCCATTCTTTCATACAAGTTTCATCAATGAAACCCTGATAGTTAATTTCGTGAAATATGGCGAATATAACCTCCAAGAATAGTCTTAGAAATAACGAAGAACAGACTTATGTGAGTAGAGTGGCAATGTTGACCAGGGAATCCTAAGGCAAGAAGGCCTCATTCTCCTCCAATTTAGTAGCTTTCCATTTGGATTGACTGAAGAGGTGAGGGCAGAGGTATATTATAAAAATCCCTTCATCTCATACTAACTAGCCTTTTGGCTGACAGCAAAACAAGTTGTTATTATTGTTTCTGTCTGTTATTACAGTGGTTACCTGACCCTAGCGGAGAGGGTCGCACAGGAAGGGTGTTTTCTTTTGCAACCCGGTCATTCACCAATTATCTCCACGCTGGCTTTTTCAGTCAAATTCATTTTCGACATAAGGAACCACAATAGATCTCTGTTATGAACTGATGTGATAATTTAAACGCAAGACTAAATCTGTAACAAGGTCTCATCGATTTACAGCTGAAATGGCTAGAGCTAACCACAAGTTCTATACCAACAATTTCTTTTCTCGCACTTCTCACTTGTGGAAACTCTCTTCCCGCTTCTTGCTTTCCAGCCAACTATGATCTTCAAAAATGGAAATGCAATGTCTTCTTAATTCCTGTTCTTTTATTGTCGTCGCTCCTTAAAAATGTTGGCTTTTCTTATTCTTTCTCTCTCATTAACCCTTTGTGTCTTTATGGCTTCACTGTTTTCCCTCGGATGAAATAATTACCCCCCAAAAAAAAAACCCGTATCACCAAATATAGGTCATAAATCTGGAATTATTAGGGTTTAACATCCATTCTAATTGCTTATGTAAGCTCTTTGCAAGAGATTCATCCAAATAACATTAATTTCATGTTTCTGTTAATATTAATTTATGTCTATATCATGTTAATGAAATTCCTGTATCACTGGTCAACACGATTTTTGGTGCCAAGAAACAATACACGTTTTTTAGCTAATTTGACGGAGTTGATTTCGAAAATGATCTTAGTTTTTCATTGTTAGCTACTGTTTTTGCTGTACTGAAATTGTTCATTTTTGAAAAAAAAGATCGATTTACGATGTTGGTTAATCGTAAAATTTAGTTAATAAAAGACATAGAAAACCATCACTTTTCAGGAAGCACTAGTAATTTATGCTGGTGATTTGAAATAAACTATTTTTATAAGAAAAAGTGTTTTTTAAAACTTAAGTACCAAATTTTACCAATTTATCGCCAAAATTCAAATTGATAAACTTTATCATTAATATACTTTAGTAAATCTGATAATTAAGATTGCATAAAAAAAAAGGAAACCTAAAAATCTTCTGTTTGACATTCAAAAATTAATCCCATCACTACGGAAGAAAACCAAGCATATTAAGAGCATTTTGTTTTCAAAGTTGGAAAGAAACTCCAACTAAAGGCATCCCAATTGAACAAACCTATTCCATTTTACATGAAACTGCTGGAATATCAAAAGGAACCAAAATAACATTGAACATGGCAATCAACAAAGAGAAAATGCTTACCATAGTTCTTCACAAAGGTTTTATTTTTGCTGTTTATTAAATGATTTGATGAAAATACTTGTTGGTCTCGGTATATTCAATCGTGTTATTTTTTAAAAACTTAGGGTCTGATTGTTATTGCAAAAATAGTATTTATCAAATAAGTGAACCAATATTTGTTGGTTTAAATACGAATTGAGAGGTTTCTATGATTTTATTTTGGGAAATATTGCCATCAACAAATATCATATATACAGAAAACAATTGAAAAAAAATCCTTTTTTTTTTTAAAATGAGGTATTTCTATACAGTAAAAACAGTAGCTAACCAAGAAAAAAGTAAGATCATTTTCAGATTCAGCGCATTCAAATTAGCTAAAGAAGATGTCTGCTGTCTCGACACTATTTCAATTTTTTTTTGTTGACCAGTGTATTCGATGTTGGAAGAATTGTCGCCACAGAAAATACCTGCTACTACTCAGTCTTATCCTTACAAGAATCACATCACACCAGGAATGGGGTATCGCTGTAATATCTGGGCTGGTGCTGGTGCTCGCTGTTCAGACTTGACAGTTGTTCAGAGGCATTTATACAACCTTGTTGGCGATTAATTTTTTCCGTCATGAAACCAATATCCCACAGACGAATCGTTGCTAGCTTCTTACTGTTCTAGAGCAAATACTGCGGCAAATGTTCAAACAAATTACATTACTCATTAGTCATGTTCACGGTGGCGGATCATCTCCATTAGTTCTTACTCAGAAATGTTACTTTGTGGAAAATATTTTTCCCGATGGCCCATACTTTACTTTTCGAAACTGAGAAGATATAGGCTTTTGAAAAAAGTGGCTTTGTTACGCCGTGATGCTTTTTATAGCCG